GTCGCCAGCCCGGCCCGGCCTGTTCCTGACCCTCGCACCAAGCCAGTGGTGCGCGTCGCCAGCCCGGCCCGGCCTGTTCCTGCTCCCCGCACCAAGCCAGTGGTTCGCATCGCCAGCCCGGTCCGGCCTGCTCCTCGCACCAAGCCAGTGGTGCGTGTGTACAGTCCGGCACGGCCCGTGCCTGTTCCACCGGTGCCTGGTCCGGCACCGGTCAGCTGCTCCACTCCGGAGCCAGAGCAGTCCGCTCCACCGGTGCCCAGTTCAGCTCCGGTCAGCTGCTCCACTCCGGAGCCAGAGCAATCCGCTTCACCGGGGTCCAGTCCAGCTCCGGTCAGCGGCTCCACTCCGGAGCCAGATTAGTCCGCTCCACCGGTGCTTGATCCAGCTCCAGTCAGCTGCTCCACTCCGGAGCCAGAGCAGTCCGCTCCACCGGGGTCCAGTCCAGCTCCGGTCAGCGGCTCCAGTCCAGACCCAGACGTCAGCCCCTCTCCAGGTTCGGGGTCTCCCACACCAGGGTCCAGACAGGGCTTGGAGTATAGTGGGAGGAAGGAGAGGGGAAGCAACGCGCCGAGGTCTAGACCAGACCAGGGGCGCAACAGGGAGGTGAAGAGTGAGAGGTCGTCACGCCCTGAGCCGGATCCGCCTCCGAGGAGGAATGCCCACCTGGCCCCTACCCTGTTAAGTAAAGGTTGTGCGGTCGGAGTCCGCACCTTTGGGGTGGGGGGGGGGGGGGGGGGGGGTACTGTCACGCCCTGACTCTGGGGACTCTTATTTATTGAGTCGGTGTGATTTTCTATGTTATATTTTCTATGTTTGGATCTGGTATGTCTAGATCTATGTTGGCCGGTGTGGTTCCCAATCAGAGGCAGCTGTCGCTCGTTGTCTCTGATTGGGGACCATACTTAGGCAGCCTATTGGCACTAGTGGGTTGTGGGATCTTGTTCCGTGTGAGGTATGTTGTTTGTGTACCTTGGACTTCACGTTTCCTTTAGTTTGTTGTTTTGTCGTTGTTTATTCGGTTCAAATAAACATGTATGCATATCACGCTGCGCCTTGGTCCATCCTTCAACGAACGTGACACACAAGTCCAAATCCCTGTCTCCATCCATGGCTAATTTAGGAAAGGGCCCATTTTAGCCAACGGAGGACAACAACACAACAAGATGCAACAATTCAAGTTGTTTCTGTTGATTACGTATTTCTCTGTGATAGAAGTGAAGCCAAATACTAACTTGCTTCCCTTGACACCTGTTTTTGATGTGCCAGGACCATTCACAGTTGAGCTCGCTCAGTTTAGCTCAATGCTGATTGGCTATTATTTTAAAGGAGGCCAAATGCTCGCTGGCTTCCCTTGCATTCAATGTCATACTCTTCATGACCAGACCTCATCAGATACAGTAGATGGCCTATACGTAGAGAGACAGAGGGGTGCTGTTTCGCTTGCTCGGATGCTTTCGCTGGTGAGATACATTCAGCCTCTTGCGAATTTAAGAAAATGATGACAACACAGAGAGATGAAAGATAAATGATTTAATCTTTTTTTCTATTTTTCTTGGGACATTTTTTGGCATCCATGAATACATGTCACTGGTTAAAGCCTGTATTCAAAATGGATCCCATTCACACTCAATATCCCATAATGACAAAGTGAAAAACATTTTTTGAAATTCTTTCACATTTATTGAAAAAATATCTCATTTACGTAAGTATTCACATCCCTTTGCTATGACACTCCGAATTAAGCTCAGGTGCATCCAATTTCCTTTGATCATTCTTGAGACGTCACTACAACTTGATAGGAGTCCACATGTGTCCAATTCAATTGTTTGGACATGATTTAGAAAGAAACACACCTGTCTATATAAGGTCCCACAGTTGACAGTGCATTTCAGAGCAGAAACTATACCATGAAGTCCAAGGAACTGTCCGTAGATCTCCGAGATAGAATTGTGATGAGGCATATATCTGGGGAAGGGTATAAAACTAATTCTAGACTGTTGAAAGGTTCCAAGAGCACAGTGGTCTCCATCATTGGGAAATTGAAAAAATATGGAACTACCCAGACTCTGCCTAGAGGTGGCTGTCTGACCAAACTGAACAACCAGGCAAGAAGGACCTTGGTCGTGGAGGGGACCAAGAACGCAATGACCACTCTGACATTACTACAGAGTTCCTTGGCTGAGATGGGAGAACCTGCCAGAAGGACAACAGTCTCTACAGCACTTCACCAACTTAGGCTTTATGAGAGCGTGGCCAGATGGAACCCACTCCTGACAAAAGGCACATGACAGCACGCCTGGAGTTTGCAAAAAGGCATGTGAAAGACAGATCATAAGGCAAAAGATTTTGTGCTCTGATGAGACAAAAATGTTGCTCTTCGGCCTGAATGCAAAGCACTATGTCTGGAGAAAACCAGGCACAGCTCATCACCCGTCTAACACCATCCCTACCGTGAAGCATGGTGGTGGCAGCATCATGGGGATGATTTTCAGTGGCAGGGACTGGGAGACTGGTATGTATAGAGGGAACAATGAATGGAACCAAATAAAGGAAAATCCTTGATGAGAACCTGCTTCAGAATGCAAATGATCTTAGGCTGGGGTGAAGATTTACATTCAAACAGGATCCCAAGCATACAGCCAAGGCAACGCTGGAATGGCTTCAGAACAAGAATGTGAAAGTCCTTGAGTGACCCAGCCAAAGCCCAGACTTGTATCCCATTGAAAATCTGTGGAAAGACTTGAAGATTGCTGTTCACCGCCGCTCCCCATCTAACTTAACAGAGCTGCAAAAAATCTGCTAGGAAGTATGGGAGAAAATCCCCAAATATATATGGGCAACGCTGATACAGACATACCCAAGAAGACTCAAAGATGTAATCGTCGCCATAGGTGCTTCTACAAAGTATTGACTCAGGGGTGTGAATACTTATGTGAATGAGATATATCTGTATTTAATTTCAATACAATTTCAGACGTTTCTGAAACATGTTGGGGTATTGTGTCTAGATATGGGTGAAATGTTTTATTTATTTAATCAATTTTGAATTCAGGCTGTAACCCCAAAACTTGCAATAAGTCAAGGGGTATGAATACTTTCTGGAGGCACTAAAGTGGGTAAAACAGTACAAATTATTAAAGTGACATATCTTTTGTCTCTCTGTGTTGTCATAATTTTCCTTCAATTTGGAAAGAGGCTGAATGTATCCCACCGGCGAAAGCATAGGAGCGAGCAAAACAGCGCCCCTCTGTCTCTGTATGTGTAGGCCATCTATCTGATGCGGTCTGGTCATGAAGAGTATTACATTGTTGCCGCCCATAGCATTGAATGCAAGTGAAGCCAGCGAGCATTTGGCCTCCCTTGATAAAAAAAAAAAGTATAAAATAATAGCCAATCAACGTCGAGCTAAACCGAGCGAGCTCAACTGTAGCTGTCTATTTACCACCACAAACCGATGCTGGCACTAAGACCGCAGTCAACGAGCTGTATAGGGCCTTAAGCAAACAAGAAAATGCTCATCCAGAGGCAGCGCTCCTAGTAGCCGGTCATTTTAATGCAGAGAAACTGAAATCCGTCTTCCCTCATTTCTACCAGCATGTCACCTGTGTAACTAGAGGAGACAAAACTCTAGATCACCTTTACTCCATTGAACGTGAAATCAACAAAAAAAATGTCATTGGATTTAGGTTAAAAGTTGGTTGAAAAAAAGACAAAAAGTCCTCACGTTCATGACTTTTTGCAAATCCAATCAGTTTTCCACATTGATTCAACGTTTCTTGTTGTTGAAATGACCTAGAAACAATGTTGATTTAACCCGTTTTTGCCCAGTGGGTTGTATCCTGTGCACGTGACAAATAAACATGACATATTTTGACACATTTAAACTGTCATTCCATTGATTTAGGAAGGAATAAAGGCACAGCTTTTCAACATTACATAATACTGTATGTTTGGAAATACCTTTGTGGTAATTACTCAATTCTGATGTTCATGTTCACAGATGGATCTTGTCTATAAAAGCATCCTCAAAGAAATGGCTGCCATACCATCAGGCCGTGAATCGACCACCAGAGGAGACCAGAATGTGAGCTCGATGGATACTCCTCGCATCGCAACCAACCTTTACTGTCCTAGCTTCTGGTTTGGTTTAACCAAAAGCATGTTAAAGGATCACTTTACTCAAAAACTTGTTATGATGCAAAACACATCATCATCACAGTTTTTACTCTGTACTGAAAACTTGACTGCTGACATGCACAATGGGATTTTTGGGGGATTGTATTAACAGTGAACCTATGATCAAAATACTAAAATATAGTTTTTGAGTGACCTATCCCTTTAATATTGGTTATGTTTGACGTTCCTGTGAAGGATTCCATGTGAAGCTGGAAATTGAATGGGAATTTGAGTGGATGGAGTTGTCTGGAGGATTTGAATTGTTGCTATGGGCTTGTTGTATGTTTTGATACTGTTAGTTTCTTTGGTGATACTGCTCTACACCATTTCAGAGATGATGATGTTGGCTGAATAATAAACTAATAATAAATGACACGACAGTTTGACTATAATAAGACCATTCTATTATCTATCATTGCTATACAACACCAACAACAAATAAAACATGAACTTTTTTTTATTTTTATGGCTAAGCATGTTGAGCTGTTTACTGATTTGACATGAAGTAATATATACAGTATATATGATGACACATTCCATTTTTAAAAAACAGATTATTAGTGATCTACTCCGTATTATAAACTGGGTGGTTCTAGCCCTGAATGGTGATTGGCTGAAAGCCGTGGTATATCAGACCGTATACCACGGGTATGACAAAAACATTTACTACATCTACTCTGTAATCTAAAATGTCTCAATACGTGGACGTGTAGAAGCTAAAGCTAAAGCTGCAGATGCTGATGGATAGTCCAGAACAGATCCATCCTATCAACTAGGTCTGCTTCAGAATGGGTTGAGAAGTGTTCAGCAGCTCCAGCAGGATCTCAGACCCCACAGCCAGCCACGTAGGAGCTCAGGTCCTGATACTGACAGTGATTGCGCCAAGCCACCCTAAAATGGACACACACCATCATGTTGATATTTTGCTTTATAGATATTACATATCAGATATAAGACAACAGAACATCATGTGGAATTGGAAGACTTGGAAACGGTTTACATTATGCAGGCATTCATTCAGGGTCATTTTAAGGGAGTATATAAGTTATATAATTACCATGTAACAAGTATGTCAGTACAGGCATTTCTTACCATTTTAGGTCTTCTAAAAGGTGAGAGCTAATTTGTTACAGGTTAGCCCATTTATAACTAGCCTTGTACTGTGATATTGGGCTACAGGTAACATAAAGTATGGCTAATTATTTTGTAACTTAATTTTTGTTGTAACATAGTTCTTTCAGGGAAACCTGCCACCTTACCATGCCCCGATTCCATTCGGGTCCAGCACAACACGCTTGGCACAACGGATCGCCACTGTGATGTCATCAGTTAGCAGCTCTGTCAGAAGAAAGAGGAAGGGAAACCTTTAAACAGGAACCGGGAAACAGGAGGAACCGAAAGCTTTATAAAACAACAACAGATTACAATGAAACAATGCAGGTAAGTAGGGTCAGGGTCAGGGAGCACCGGTGTCTGTTTATTCAAATTCTGACTGTATTCAAATGTTGGATCAGAATTATGTAAGATCAGCATTACAGTGCCTTCAGAAAGTATTCATTCCCCTTGACCTATTCCATATATTATTGTGTTACAGCCTAAATTCAAAATTGATTATATAGATTTATTTCTCACCAATCTACACACAATAGCGAAAACATGTTTTTAGAACTTTGTGCAAATGTATTGAAACTGAAATACAGTATTCACACCCCTGAGTCAATACATGTTAGAATCACCTGTGAGTCTTTCTGCATAAGTCTCTGAGAGCTTTGCACACCTGGATTGTACAATATCTGCACATTATTCTTTAAACAATTATTCAAGCTCTGTTTATTAAGTTGGATGTTGGCCATTTTGTCATTGTTAAATAGGATGAGGTTTTTGTTTTACTGATCATGAGAGTGGTACAAGTAGAGAGAAGCCATGGTTTTAAAATGGATTTCAATAAGTCATGGTAACGTTGTTTATTTTTTAAACAGCCATTCTGTCCAATGTAGTTTCAGTTCCACTAACTGGAAGGTTATGTATTGTGGCCCTGTGTAGCTCAGTTGGTAGAGCATGACGCTTGCAACGGCAGGCTTGTGGGTTCGATTCCCACGGGGGGCCAGTATGAAAATGTATGCACTCACTAACTGTAAGTCGCTCAGGATAAGAGCATCTGCTAAATGACTCAAATGTAAAAAATTTAAATCATTTCTAGATAGCCATTTTCAAGTCTTGTCATGAATTTTCATGCTGATTTAAGCCACAACTGTAACTAGGTCACTCAGGAACATTCATGTCGTCTTGGTAACACCCAGTGTATATTTGGCCTTGTGTTCAGGTTATGCCTGCTGAAAGTATTAATGTTACACGAACAATACAACAAACAGATACTGAAGTACGGTACAAGCGACTGAACATAACCGGGAAGTAGAGGGCTGGAAAGCAGACTGAACCATACTGTGGGAAACAGGTGGAAGTATGGTTCTGGACAATCGGAACAGACTGAACCATAGCAAGATGTTCACGTGGACTGCTGATGAGAACCAACATGGCCAACATAGAACATACCAGGGGCGTGCTGTGGTTCATTAGGGCGAATGGGCTGGAAGCAGACTGAACCTAGCGTGGGAAAAGGTGCGTGTTTTTTTCTAATCATTGAATCACTGCACAAGTGTTAGTCTGTGCTAAAGCAGACTGATCTCCATAAATGTCAATAGCTAAAGTGTGCTTCAAATGGACCGACTGGGGCGCTTAGCCTGTGCGGAAAAGGTTCTCATGTAAAATCTAGGTTTTGTTTTTCAAAATCAGAGTCAATACGTCTAGGGTCGGGAAAAAAGGCTGAACCTACCCCGGGGTTTGGGTCGAAACAAAAAACCATACCCGGAAATAGGGGGGAAAACAGCTAACCCTAATTCCCGGGGAAATGGGGGGCAAAAAAAGTGCCTAGGGGGGGTAGGGGGGCAAACGATGTCCCCGGGGGAAAGGGTTCTTTTGGGGCGGGACAAACCGGGTAAATACAAAATTTTTTAAATTTTTCACAGGTTTTTACCCTAAGGGGGAGGAAACCCCACCCCGTTTCAAAATTTAAAACAAAAACTTTGGGTTTAAAACTTTTTCCGAAAAAGGGAAAAACCCAATTGAGTCTTGCCCCCCCCAAAAAATTTCCTTTAAAAAAACCAACGCCAAAACACGCTAAAAGTGTAGGTCACCCATCTTTCAAAAAGATTTTGAAACATTTGGGATGGGTAAAAGGCCCCTTGGATTTTCCCGTTTAGTTCTTTTTTTTTAACCAAAAAAAATCCCATCCTTTAAAGAAAAAATCCCCCAGTGAATCCCCCCCCTTAAAAAGATGGACTCAGTGATTGGGGTTTTGGTTTCCCCCTCGCTTTTTTATTAAAAACTTTTTTTTTTTTAATTTTTTTTAATCTGTGTTATTCCAACCAACATGTTTTGGAAATTTACTTTCAAATTTTTTTCCCCTGTCTTTTTTTATTTTAATACACAATTTGGGTTTTCCCTTTTTTTTCCCCCAAAGCCATTTTTTTAAAAAAAAACCCCTTGGTGGTTAAATCCCGGGGTTTTCCCTTGGCAAGATGGGCACCGATTTTGTAGGTGGGGTTTTAAAAAATAAGGTAATGGTAAATTTCCCCCTTCAAAAATTCCCTTTTTAAAATTTTTCCCCCAATTTGTGGCCCCTTTTTTGAAAACACCCCCTGGTTTTTGGGGCTTGTTTTAAAAGGGTTTTTAAACTTTGATCAGATTTTTCAAGGGAATTTTCAAAAAAATTTTTAAAAAAAATTTTGAAAACATTCTTTAAAATTTTATTCCACTTTTACATTATGGGGTATTGTGTGTAGGCCAGTGACACTAAATCTCAATGTAATCCATTTTAAATTCAGGCTGTAGCACAACAAAATGTGGAATAAGTCAAGGGGTGTAAATACTTTCTGAAGCCACTGTTTCTAGTGCACTTTACAAGCTACTGCCCCTGCCTCTCAATAAAACACACGGTTTGAGGAGGACCATCATCCGTCTCATCCTCGGACGAACCTCCTCAAACACCTCATACAGTTACACGGCCAATACCCCTCAACCCGGCACATTTCTCAGGTGAAAAGTAATGCACTGTGTATGCGATGCCATTTGGTATGCAGGCTACTCACGGCTGCAGCGGATACCACAGACGTTCTTAGCCCTCGGGGTACGTCCGTCGTCACACCAGTAGCGGCTGTTGATCTGGAAGATGCCGTAGTCGGTGGAGCCGTCGGTGTTGCGGTTGGTGGCCTGGGTATTGTAGCTCGACTCCCATTTGGACAGGCACACCCCTTGGAGGAAAGAAAGTCACACGGTTGATGTCAACATTATCCTCAGTGTAAGGTTAGCTATAGTAAGATATTTTGGGGAGCACACACACACACCCATCCTCAAAGACCATGATCGAGTCTATTATCACTCACAGTTGGGCAGGCTGTTTCCGGCGTAGCCATCCATCCCGGATGCCTTCAGTGCTCTGGCCAGCTCACATCTGTCAAACACCTTAGCACTGGCCACAGCCACAAGCAGAAGAACAACAACAGCTCTCATTCTGGACAGACAGACAGCTAGGTCTAATGGTTTGGATGAAAAGAAGGCCTATGTCTCTGAAGGTGTGAACAAATCAACTTCAGCTTTCCTTATAAAGGCTCAGGATGAAAGAGAAACTGATATCACACTATTTACACAATAGATATGTGCCAACAACTTCTGCAAAAAGCAGTGGTTGTGAAATGTAGGGTGTTCTCATTTAACCCTTTGTTAGGCAGGCTTTTTTTTGCTTGGTGGTTGCTTGCTTACTTAGAGTACATATTGTTTTTGTTAGGACTGTTTCCATATAAGGACATTCACAGATATGACAGTCCGAAAATATCATAACATGTGATTTAGATACAGTATTAAATGATTAGTGGGTATTTTTTTAAGACAAAGGCTTCGTTAATTGTTTCAAAATTGTTTATTCACCTTCATCATTATGCCCAATAGATCAAATGAAATCAAAGTGTATTGGTAGCATACACAGATCTGCAGATGTTATCGCAGGTGCAGCGAAATGCTTGTGTTTCTAGCTCCAACAGTGCAGTAATATCTACCAATAAAAAATAATTTTTAAAACAATACATACATAATCCAGAAAAAAATCATGAATTCTGAAATATCAGAATGAGCAATGTCAGAGGCCGGAATATTAAATGTACAGTCGAAGGTTTGGACACTCCTACTCATTCCAGGGTTTTTCTTTATTTTTACTATGTTCTACATTGTAGAATAATAGTGAAGACATCAAAACTATGAAATAACACATATGGAATCATGTAGTAACCAAAAAAGTGTTAAACAAATCCAAATATATTTTATATTTGAGATTCTTCAAAGTAGCCAACCTTTGACCTTGATGACAGCTTTGCACACTCTTGGCATTCTCTCAACCAGCTTCATGAGGTAGTCACCTGGAACGCGTTTCAATTAACAGGTGTGCCTTGTTAAAAGTTAATTTGTGGAATTGATTTCCTTCTTAATGCGTTTGAGCCAATCAGTTGTGTTGTGACAAGGTAGGGTTGGTATACAGAAGATAGCCCTATTTGGTTAAAGACCAAGTCCATATAATGGCAAGAACAGCTCAAGTAAGCAAAGAGAAACGACAGTCCATCATTACTTCATGACATGAAGGTCAGTCAATCCGGAAAATGTCAAGAACTTTGAACGTTTCTTCAAGCGCAGTCGCAAAAACCATCAAGCGCTATGATGAAACTGGCTCTCATGAGGAGCATATTGCATGTAACAAACAGTTACATGACCTACAGCATGGTCAAGAAAGTCCATATTTTCAGACTACTAAACAACTATTGATTTAGTTCCACGGAGAGTTACTGCAAGTCGTAAAGAAAACAGGAGCTGCCTCCACTATTCCAGCACAATTTCTACTTTAACATTTCAACATCATCAAATCACCTCTGCTTAGTATAACAGTGACAACTAAAAGATACCAGAAGCAATTTAATCCAATTAACGTATGCTAAATATATGTGGCTGTACATGTATCTGATTTCTATTTGTGTGTATGTGTTTGTACGTTCATGCAAGTAGAAAAAACATGTTGACTCACCCTACTTGTAGAAAAACGCCAATGCCATCCTCATCTCTTTCATGTTGATGAAACGGTCAATGACTCTGTCATACAGTACACACTTTTTTTTAGCTAGTTAACATTAACCTACTACATCTAGCTACATATTGAACTTCCATCCTCTCAGTCCAGGGGCACAATGTATTTTATGGATTGATCAAAATCGCCTTTATAATCTCCAGTACGTAGAATTAAGTAAAACCACAAGTCCAAATCCCTATCTCCAGCCATGGCTAATTTAGGAAAGAGCTAGACACAACACAACAAGATGCAACAATTCAAGTTGTTTCTGTCAATGAAGCATTTCTCTGTGATAGGAGTGAAGCCAAATCCAAACTGGCTTCCCTAGACTTTATTTATCAAGGGAAGCCAAATGCTCGCTGGCTTCCCTTGCATTTAATGCTACGGGTGGCAACAATGTCATACTCATTATGACCAGACAGCATCAGATAGATGGCACCCCCCACAAGCATTTCGCTACACCCGCAATAATACCTGCTAAATATGTGTATGTGACCAATACAATTTTATTTTATTTTATTTGAAAACATCTTCCCGCGGCCATGGACTGAACCAGGTTTTCCTCTAGGATTTGGCCTGTGCTTAGCTCTATTCCGTTTATTTTTATCCTAAAAAACTCCCTAGTCCTTGCCAATGACAAGCATACCCATAACATACAGAGAAGGGGGGTGGCGCTGTTTCACTCGCTCGGATGCTTTCGCCGGTGAGATACACTCAGCCTCTTGCGAATTGAAGGAAAATTATGACAACACAGTGAGAAGAAAAATATATTATAGAATATTTGTGTCTTTTCTTCGTGGAACATTTTTGGTGGAAGCCTGGCTTCCATTGGCATCCATGAATGCACGCCACTGGTTAAAGCCTGAATTCAAAATGTATCCCATTCAGACACAATATCCCATAATGACAAAGTGAACATTTATTGGAAATGAAATAAAAAAATATCTTATTTACTTAAGTATTCACATCCCTTTGCTGTGACACTCCGAATTGAGCTCAGGTGCATCCAATTTCCTTTGATCGTTTTGAGATGTCAGTAAAACTTGATTGGAGTCCACCTGTGGCCAATTCAATTGTTTGGACATGATTTAGAAAGAAACACACCTGTCTATATAAGGTCCCACAGTTGACAGTGCATTTCAGAGCAGAAACTATACCATGAAGTCCAAGGAACTGTCCGTAGATCTCCGAGATAGAATTGTGATGAGGCATATAACTGGGGAAGGGTATAAAACTAATTCTAGAGTGTTGAAAGTTTCCAAGAGCACATTGATCTCCATCATTGGGAATGACAGCCTATAGGGAGGAGGTCAGAGACTGGCAGTGTAGTGCCAGGACAACAACCTCTCCCTCAACGTCAGCAAGACAAAGGAGCCGATCGTGGACTGCAGGAAACAGAAGGCCGAGCACACCCCAATTCACATCGACGGGGCTGTAGTGGAGTGGGTCGAGAGCTTCAAGTTCTTCGGTATCCACATCGCTAAGGATTTAGTCGTGAAGAGGGCACGACAACACCTCTTACCCTTCAGGAGGATGAAAAGATTTGGCATGGGCCCTCAGATCCTCAAAACGTTCTACAGCTGCACCATTGAGAGCATCTTGACTGGCTGCATCACCGCCTGGTATGGCAACTGCTGGCATCCGACCTAGGTGCTACAGAGGGTAGTGCGTACGGTCCAGTCCATCACTGGGGCCGAGCTCCCTGCCATCCAGGACCTCTATGCCAGGCGGTGTCAGAGGAAGGCCCTAAAAATTGTCCTACTCCAGCCACCCAAGTTATAAACTGTTCTCTCAGGTACCCCATGGCAAGCGGTACCAATGCACCAAGTGTGGAACCAACTGGACCCTGAACAGCTTCTACCCCCAAGCCACAAGACTGCTAAATAGTTAGTTAAATAGTTAACCAAATAGCTACCCTGAATATCTGCATTGACCCTTTTTGCACTAACTTTTTTGACTCATCACATACGCTGCTGCTGTTTATTATCTATCCTGTTGCAGTCACTTTATTCCTAGTTATATGTAGGGAAGAACCGGGATGAAAGTAACACTTTTAGTTTATTCCCTAATTACTCAGAGATGGATAGAGCTAGAGACACCATATTTTATGACAAGCAATATGTCCTCTACCATTAGCAACTGTAATTTCCTTATGAATGAGTTGAAATTAAATAGACCTAGAACAGAACTACCGCAACGTTACTTTTCTACCTGCCGGTGGGGCGGGAGTAACACAGTCTTGGGACCGAAATAACAGCTTGCGAGAAGTGCGCAATATCTGTCTTATCTTATCAATATTTGGCCTTACAATATTAATCAGACTAAAATGGATCACATTATAGCTATAATAACATCATTTTCTCATCTCACTTTAATGGAGATGATTTTCAGCATTTTCAATTACTATTCATGCTGAGCCCTACCAATCAGATGTGCTCCAGCTGTCCTTGTCATACTTGCTCCTCGTGTCTTGACAGAATAACAGTCTTAATTCTCTTCACAAACGGCAAACCCGGTCTCTTTTCACATTTCCATGGCTTGACATAAGGTAATTGACCCCCAGAATCATAAAGATTTACAGTTGAAGTCGGAAGTTTACATACACTTAGGTTGGAGTCATTAAAACTTGTTTTTTCAACCATTCCACAAATTTCTTTTTAACAAACTATAGTTTTGGCAAGTCGGTTATGACTGCAACATTTTTTCCAACCTAATATTCAGACCCCTTGACTTCAGAGCAAAAACCAAGCCATGAGGTCGAAGGAATTGTCCGTAGAGCTCCAAGACAGGATTGTGTCGAGCCACTGATCTGGGGAAGGGTACAGAAAAAATCTGCAGTATTGAAGATCCTCAAGAATACAGTGGCTTCCATCATTCTTAAATGGAAGAAGTTTGGAAACACCAAGACTGTTGCTAGAGCTGGTCACCCGGCCAAACTGAGTAATCGGGGGAGAAGGGCCTTGGTCAGGGAGGTGACCAAGAACCCGATGGTCACTCTGATATGGCTCCAGAGTTCCTCTGTGGAGATTGGAAAATCTTCCAGAAGGACAATCATCTCTGCAGCACTCAGGCCTTTATGGTAGAGTGGCCAGACGGAAGCCACTCCTCAGTAAAAGGCACATGACAGCCCGCTTGGAGTTTGCCAAAAGGCAGCTAAAGACTCTCAGACCATGAGAAAAAGATTCTCTGGTCTGATGAAACCAAGATTGAACTCTTTGGCCTGAATGCCAAGCGTCACGTCTGGAGGAAACCTGGCACCATCCCTACGGTGAAGCATGGTGGTGGCAGCATCATGCTGTGTGGATGTTTTTCAGCGGCAGGGACTGGGAAACTAGTCAGGATAGAGGGAAAGATGAACGGAGCAAAGTACAGAGAGATCCTTGATCCTTTTCCAGAACGATCA